GAGGAGGGGCGACATAGTGACGGGGAAGGGAGACAAGGGGAGTAAAATCACCTAAGTCGTCCAACCTCACCTCCCCGCAGAAAATCGTCCTGGATGTGTCTATGTTCTGGGATTGCGTGGAGGCTATCAGCAACGTAAGCAACATATTCTGCTCATTTTTTCGCCTCCTCAAAGTCTGAATCATAGTCAGAATTCTTTTCTCCGGGCTCTATCACAGTGTATGCAACTTAATGGACCGAAACATTCCAATTCAGTTTTTACTTTTTTTTTAATTACTATTCTCATTTTAGTTACAACCTTTTTCATAGCTTCAAAAAGTATTCAAATTCGCAAACATTTTGCAGCAAACAGCTCTTAAAATGAGATGCAAATGTCCCGAGAAAAGGACGTGATGACAAACCAAGATCTGGTCCTTGACTACTGCTCCACGTGAAAGCAACGCTGCTATTAGATATTCCAACGCGAATGAACACGATTTTAGCAGAACTGACGACGGTTCATGTACGTGGGGCTCGATCGACTGATAGCGCTGTCCGCTTCGCATAATTTCATCTTCCATAGCAGATTTCCGATAATCGCAACCGATCAGCCGAACTGGCATTGCAACGTATCTAAAAACAAGTAAATTAGACACACCACCTTTCAAGACCTGATCCATTCTATACAAAGTGACCACAGCAAGAAATATAATAGATGTTTGTTAAAAAAACCGAGAGAAAGTCATAATGATAATAAACTTAAGTTCTATAGTTTGGTTCCCCTCACCACCAATATCAGTTCATTTTGACAGGGAAATGGTAGCACTCACGTGTACCAGGAAATCTAGACCGATAACAGAATGCTTCAGAGTAGTCCTCAAATTGTTATTGAGAGGTGCAAAAGGCAATCAGAGATGTAAATAAATTTTTGTTAATTAAGCAAATGCAATTTAGTCAAACAAAAAAACCAAAATTTAGCCAATTAGATTTAGACATAGATTAGATTTTCATATATTTCCTCAAAATGCACAAAACGTTTGATTATCACATGAAACCAAATACTGCTAATGAAAATGCTTGTTGTTCAACTTACTTTCGAACTGAATAATAGTAATAAGTGACATTTGCGAATTCAATTGGAAGGCCAACTCGTTTACGGAGTCTACTGAGAAGACTGTATAATCGTTCTTCCTGAAAAGTAATAGGATTGCCATTAATTCCAAAAGATTCTCAGTTTTCCCGTTCCTAACTAAAAGAAATAAATTTTTGCCTGTCATTTTTGCAACAGCTTTCATAATAAAGACGAAGATCTGCAATACTCTGCAGCTTTTAGAAGATCGT